AACTGGCAGTAAATTATGATAAATACCTTCTGTGAAATCCTGCATAGTCAATAGAAATTATGTTGTAGAGCTTCATATATGAACATGAAAAATTATTTAATGGTACAAAAACAGGTTATGAAACACAACGATCACATTTCTATACAGTTATATTATTAGAAATATGGGAGGTTGTTCATTTAAATCTTAACACTTAGAATTTCAGGCTACCTTTACTCCCTTTGCTGTTTGACTCTTTCCACTCCCACCTATCAACTCCATGTCCTTAGAGAGACTTATTTAACCTTTCTCACTCTTGGCAAAAATGGAGATAATAGCAGAGTCTTAGAGGTTATTGCAAGAATCAAGCAATAAAATACATGTCAAGCACATGGTTTAAAAGAAGTATTTTGATTTTTTTTTTTGATCCTACACAGTTTCCTTTTTTTCTTTCATTAGCTGTGTCCCTATGCCCAGGATTCAAAGAGGGAAAGCTAAGTGGGCTTTTGAATAATTTCCACTTATTTTAATACAGACAGAGCTTTAGTTCCAAATATGTGGAACAGTATTTTCCTAAGGCTGCAGTGTGTCAGGAAAAGGCCATACTGAGTCATTGTTTTCTGAAGCCAAGAGAGGAGATTGAGTGACGGATGCTGATGGGCAGCCTAAAATAATATTTCATTCTTGTCATCCTTGGGCAGTCTAAGACAAAGTGATTTTGGACAGATCTACAGTTTCCCTCTCGGTTTGGGAGAACAAAGCTTTTGTTATTTATGTTCTTAAACAACAGCGCTTTGTCCTATACTCCGGAGCATGCAAAACAAACAGAAGATTTCCTGAAGGGCCATCCCATATATGGTGAGGAGTGAGCCCAAGTAGACATACTCAGCTCCAACCATTTGCAGAGGGCCCACATTAACAGCGAAAGGAAATAGACAAGACTCACAGGAGCACAAAGGCCAGTCAGGTTTGGGATTCAGTTCTCCGATATTGTGCCAAAGTTGGTGGACTCAGCCATTCTGAAACTCCCTGTTCACTTGGGGCCTGCTTTGCTCTACCAAACAAATAGCCCTGTTTTGCTTTCCATGTCTGAGGCAGAAAAATGAAAATGGCAATATTTTGAGTTGTTTTTACGTTGGGAATTTCTGGTCCATAGATAATTATTTCAGATATCCTGTGTAATCTTTTCAGAGCTGTCGAAACTGTGGAATAGGGCATAATTAGGGCTCAAGAGATTTCATTAATGGTTAAATGATTATTAGAAGGACAGGTACTGTATCTCTCTTCTTATTTCTCTTCCTACACTAAAACAACTCCTGGCTTGCTACCATACTGCCGCACCCATGTACAATTTTCACTTAGCAAAAGGTCAAGTCTAAATAGAGTCTATGAAGTTGGGATTGATTCTGATTGGTAATAATGCTAGCTAGTAAGCACTGACAACTTGTACCAGGCTTTCTGTGAAGTAGTCTGCATGTACTATCTCAAAGATTCTCAAGGTGTGGTCCATAGGTCCATAGCCAGTGTTTAAAGGTCCACTGGCTTTAAACATTGACGGGTGGTGGTGGGTGTGGGCAATGAAAAGGCAGATTCCCAGATCCTACTCTACAGTCATGAGATCAGCATTCTGTAGTGGGAGCCAGGGATCTACCATTTTAGCAGGTGCCTTGGGTCATCCTTACGCACATGATGTTCAAGAGCCACTGTGTGATTTCCTAGTACAAGTGTGACTAAGTGTAATCTGCTTTCTTTCCACTCCTCTGATTTCTGTGTGCAAATTCTCATGACAAAAGTTAGACAAAGTATTATGGACTGTAAGATATAGAGCAACCCATGTCTCTTTTAGTTGCTGGTGATTACAAATTGCTTTTGAGGCACTATGTGTGATATTTATCTCTATTTGGGAGGGTTAAATAAGTGAGAACTCTTTCCTTGCTTAGTGGTGGCCTGTGCTCTGGAGGTAGAGAGGAAGACTCAGGGGCCATGGAGGTGGGACTTACAGGTGTTGTACAGGTTGTATAATCATGATGGTGACCTTGCATGGAGAAGAGAACACTTGGCCTTTTCCTTGGCCCAGGGCTGTGCAAATAGGGCTGGCCCACTTCTGAGAGGGGAAGGTAGCTGATACTTGGGTATGATTCCCTAGGGCCCAGAAAGGCCTGCCTACCTTCTCTCTTTGTTGTCATGCTTCATGAGGCCTGAAATGTTCATTGGTGGTTATTTCTCTGGTTCTCAGTTTAGTTCTAGAAAACCCCTATTGAAATGAAATGCCACTTGGAAGACAGCAGTAACATTTACTCATATTTTCACAGACCGGTTTAATCTGCTGCTCTGGGGATGGCACACAAAAAGATTTACTTGATGGGAGGAAGGATAGGCCCCTTTGTGGGCCACAAAGAAGAAACTGGGGATCCCAGGGAGACTATTTTTGGGGGAGGAGTAAAAAGGGCTCTAAAGACAAACTGGACCTGTCTCACAATTCTGAGGGCTGTCTTCCAGAAAACACTGTTTCATGAAATTCTCCAGCCTCTTGCATCATTTTTCTTTCAGTGAATGTCCAGTACTGAGGGGCTGTCCCCATGGTCACAGGACTACACTGCAGCAGTGCTGCCGGTGGTGAGAGTCAGTGGCACAAGAGGCTCTGGGAGGGAATCTTTATGTCGGATTCTGTAGCTGCACCAGCAGAGGGGGAAGAGGCAGATAATTACCCATCTCTGAGTCTGAGATACCCCCTAACCCCAATGCATTCTTCTGCCAGGAGCAGAATAATTGCAATAAAAGAGACTTAGCCTAGCTCATTCAACTCCTTGCCAGGCTCCATGCAAAGCTTTCAAATATACAATCATTTCTAGGGACTACATTGGGCTCCTCTGCATTTCTTTATCAACATGTTGAGAAGGACCAGAGATGATTCCTAACGGTAGCCACGAGTTTGCCTGTGGGTCCAGTACGCCTCAACATTTGACTTTATTGGAATTTTGATCTTGTAGAAAGTACCCTATGTTTCAATTTTCAGCATTTTTTTGTTAAACTGAAAACATCCCTCAATTTCCCAATGTTTATTTGTCCTCTAGTGCTAATTTATGTGGTAAGTGGTACGGATTCATTAATTTGCTCAGCAGGGAATAAACACCTTCCCTGGAGAGGAGGTGGCTGGGAAGGGGTTTCCAGTGAAGGAACTCATTTTTCTTGGTCTTCCTGGTGGGTGCTGGGGAAGGGTGTGCGGTTAGAGGGGCTGCATTTGCAGAAAAATGGCTGTGTGTGAGCTGGGGCTCTCAGGAATAGGAAGCAGGTAGGTGCGGCGGGTGGGTGTTCGTGTGGCAGTGGGAGGAGATAAGGACGAAGACCACCCATAAGTAGTGAGTGAATGAATGAATGAATGAATGATTGTGTATAGAAGTCCATACTCCTTCTCTAGGGTGGCTGTTCCTTCACCAAGCAAACTCTGTTCTTTCTTCTGCTGCTTCTTAGTGAGCATATGACTCAGTTAATATTCTCTTGCTCTGAGAAATTTCTCAGCAATGGGAGGAGAAAATATAATTAGCTTCAACATTAGCTCATATTTAAGCTGAGAATTCAGCATGAGTTCCAGACATGGTCCATGTATTTTGGATAATCAGCATAGCTGTGCATGATAGGTAACCCTCTTTTTCCTCCTCCTTCAAATCTCTTTTGGTTAAGTTACCATGACTGAAGATTAATGACTTCCATTATTTTTTTCCCCTCATGCAGGAACCTCTAAACTAGTCTAAACTTTATACCAACTATCATATGAATCATGTCTACTACGTTACCCCTTCTGTGTTACACTCTGGGTTAGTGTCCTTGCATGACACAGCAAAAAGCAGGGCAGGGTTAAAAGTGTCAAATGAGACCAGGCAAAAAACTGATAATTAACAGTGACTGACATACCTCACTGTGCTGTTACCTTATAGGCCTTAAGGCAAAATCTCACAAATATTAGTTGAAATGCAACATGTGATGTTAGTAGACACATTTCACCACATCTGGCAGTACACTAATTCACCTTCAGTTTTGATATTGTGTATGTTTATTGCAGCAAGCTTAATCCTAACAAAAATGACAATTTTAATTTATTTACTTTTGTTTTTAAAACATTTTCTTTGAGACAGGATCTCACTCCATCACCGAGGCTGGAGTGCAATGACACAACCATAACTCATTGCAGCCTCCAACTCCTGGACTCAAATCATCCTCCCACCTCAGCCTCCCAAGTAGCTGGGACTACAGGTGTGTGCTACCATGCCCAACTATTTATTTATTTATTTATACTTTTTTCAGAGATGGGGTCTTGCTATGTTGCCCAGGCTGGTCTCAAACTCCTGGACTCTAGTGATCCTCCCACCTTGGCCTTCTAAAAAGCTAGGATTACAGGGGCTAGCCACCATGCCTAGCTGACAGTTTTCTTTTAATGAGCAGTCACTATCTAATAGACTTAGTTCTAAGCATGTATTTGCCCATTTAATCTTCACACCAGTCTAAGCGGTAGTTACGTATGTGGCACCCTTTTATATAGGAGGAAACAGAGGTATAATGCTGTTAAGTAGCTTGCTCAAGGTCCAACAATTAAGAGTCAGAGCTGGGATTTGAACCCACGTAGCCTGACTCCAGAGTTTCTATCAACCACCATGTTATACTGCTTTACATGTTGTTTGAAGCAAAGAAGTGATTTTAGCATCAAATATTAAGAATGCACTCCACACATTTTTCTTATTAAATGTAATTTTCAGTTTTTGTATATGTCATTGCCTTAATGCTTTTGAGAAACTTAGACAAAGAGCAAGACCATAAATAAATGGATCCTTCTGTTCAGGTCTCATTACCTAGAAGAGTTTTGACTACAATGTATGAGTACCAAAGGTTGATGGTTTATGTTAATTTTAAGTGTAATATATTTTAGAATTTTCTCACATGCATTATTAGAATGATTTCATATTTATGACCTTAGGAGAGGCTGATTTAAACAATAACAACCACAACAAAATACAACAAATATTTCCCCCCTGTGCCAAGAGCAAATTTCAATTTGAGGTCCATTTGTCCAGATAAAATATTTTGTTATCTGAACCAAGAACATGAGCTTTATCCTTATACTGACCACAAACTCCCATCTCTAGTATCATGATTTTTAATTTGAATTAAAACTATTTTTTTGCCTTGTTAAGGGGAGGCAGGCCTTCTTGCTGATTTTAAAAAGCAACTATTTTTATTTCAGTTTACTCTATAAGGCACTGGCTCCAACTGTCAGCATTGAAACTGTCAGCAGTTTCCTACCAGGAAGCTGGTTCCAAGGTCTAGGGTTTCCTTAGGTAGAGGCTGGCATTATGAAAATAATGGGGCTATTTATCCATGTCACCTGGAGTGGAGGTAATACCCTGCCAGTCTTAGTTGCTTTGACATGTTAACATGATGGGTCTGAATGTTTTCTGTAGTTTACTCATGAGTGACTTTTTTAGTTTACATAAATAGCAAGGCCAGACAAATTAGCTTATGGACCTAGAAATCATTCTTGGCCCAGATTTTGAAACACTTTTCAGTTTACTATAGTTGTTCTAATACTTGAGAGTTGCTGACAGTGCTTGCTTCAGAAAAAGGTTACTGTCTTGAGCAATTTTTATTTTATTGGCATCATCTTAATTCTTGTTTGTCTGGTTGAGATGAAGGAAATACGAGCAAAGACTGCACTCAGCTATTTGGATGACCCTTGTGTACCATGAACTTCTTAGACACTACCTGATGTGATCACCAGAAAACATTAATTGATCGTGATAATAGGAGATAGTCTCTCTAGCCAGAACCTGCTAATACAAGTCTTGATGAATTGAGAATGATGCCTGCAGGAAGCAGGCTCTGACATGGTACATTAATAATTTTAGGCAAAAGAAGACAATGGTACTAATATGTATATTTTTAAGTTTCCTCTTCCATTGCTTTGTTTTGCACAGGGTAAATAAATGTACACGGCATATGATGGTGGCTCAGGGTGGATAATAATGAGACATGATTTCCTTTGTTTCAGGGTGAGGTGGCCCCTGCTATGTGACAGCTCCAAGTATTAGTGTATTTCAATCCCCAGAAAAATGTCAAGTCCCAGTAACATGTTTCAGGTTATCATGATTATGATGATTCTAGGAGGGTAAGGCAGTGCTGGTCTCTTGGGAAGTTCTCATCATGAATGTGTTGTGGAGTGAACATTACTTACTAACAGATGAACAGCTTGAAGTTGAGTCATACAAAACTTGCAGTGTTTGCAAGGGTCAGGGAGCCAGGGGACAGTCTGTAATTCAGTTGTATTTTGGCATACAGAATGTACAAAAGCTGTGAAAGCTTCAACTCAAATGACTTTGTGGATGGTTGTTGGTGATTATCTTGGGCAGTAAGATAGTTTTCTTCAAAGTTGCAGGAGGCAAAGTCTTCCTATGGGAAATTTCTGGACAAGAATACAAATGAAATGACTTAGATGCCTCAGTTTGGAGTATTCTTGGCCTTGTCTGTCAACAAATGGAGATTTGAACATGGAAATTCAAGGGGATTTTAATGGAATTTTATTAATGAGATGAGAAGCAGGGAGTCTGTGTTGAAAATTCAATAAAAGGCTTGTTTTCCATGTCAGTCTGGATAATAATCCATGTTATCTTTGACTAAGGGGTGGAACAATTCTAACAACCTGGCTTCCTTAGAAGTTTCCATTCTCACATAGTCACCAAAGGCAGCAACACTGTCAAATAAACAAAGGTTTAATTAAATAAAAACTATTTAAACGGAGCAGAAATATTCTTCCCTGGCTAGCTACAGACTGGACAATTCAAAGAACATACCCTGAGGGGAAATTGCCGATGGATTACTTTTTCTGTTTTCTGTCTACTGCCATGTTTTTCTTTCTGGTGTCAAATCTCAAGTTGAATTCGGTCAATTATCTACAGCCAACAAAAAGTGCATAAATGTCTCTTTTGTTATTGTTTATATTTCACCACTAAACAAAGCAAGTTTTTCTTCCCAGCTTCTTCCCTTAGGAGCTTCTAAGTTCAACGACACAAATAAAATATTATGTACATTCTATCATCACTGTGAAAGCATATGGATTGATTTAGTTATGTACAAGTTTATTGCCAAAGTTTTTTTGTTGCTAATGTCACACTTGCTACAAAATCTATTAAAGAAACACAATTTGCTGAGGATTTGGGAGGATCTGTCATTGGGTTAAGCACATTAAGTATCTAAGGGGTGTGGTGTTTGGGTTATGTGTATGTCAGTTTCACATATTTTTTTCTTTCTTATTTTGGTTGCCTCTTTAATAATTTTGACTTTAAAATGTTTTCCACAGATCCTTTAATAACTGCAAATGTAGAAGTATGGTGTAACAAGTAGCTGGTATAACGAACACTAAAATGTAATGGGAAATAAGGCTAATATTGAAAAGAAAACAAAAAAATCCTGGGGCAGGGGAGCAGTATTGATTCTCTCTTAGGATTCTTAAGATTCTCTGTCCCGACCCTCCTACCAGGGAACAGTCTTATGTGGTCTAAGTGTTAAAGGCCAGAGGAGCTGGGCAGTAACTTATCTTCCCAATTTTCTCTCTGAGCATAGATATTTTCTTTAAGAAACAAAAAACTTTTAACGGTGCTCCAGAAACTCATCCCTGTCTTCCCTGTCTTGGCCCCGTTGCCTCTTGTTTCTGTGGGTGGGTGAAAAGCTTACCCATCTGAAAAGGTAGCTCTGAAACTGTTCTGGAACATCCTCTGTTTCCTCCACAAATGATCGTTTTCAAGTTTATTTCAGATACATTGATTCTCCCCCCTCCTCAGACTTAATAACAAATGATCCTCCACACAATTGGAATAGAAAAAGGTAAAATAAAATCGAAGCATATTTAGTTGCCTCAGTGACTTCATGCTTATCATTTTCAGTCAGCATTATTCTACTAAAAATAAAAAGAAAGATGAGAATTACCTCAGGCGTTCGCTGCCGTGCCTGCCCTTTGGTTTCTGGGACGCCTCGGGTCCTGCAGCGCCCCGGCACAGCTGGGCTTGCCAAGCCGGGAAGAGACCTTGCTCAGGTGTAGCTGCGTTTTCCCCAGATCACCTTCCTCTTCCCCTCTGACAAGGAATCTGTGATTTTTTTCTGGCCTTTAGAAGCAAAGTGATTCCAGATAAGTAGATTAATGTGTAGAATATCTCATCTGTGTTGTTCCAGTGCAGCCCTTTCAGCTTTCCAGAGCCAGTTAGACTTGTTATGAGGAGCTAAGTGATTGGCTGGCTCTGGAGCTCAGTTTCATAGATTATAGCCCAGCGTACGAGAGGCACGAGTCCTCCAGTTGCCGTATCCAGAGGCCTGCCAGTTCCTGCCTTAATGCATATGTAGTCGTAATTGAGTTCTGACACGGCCTTGGATGTTTCTGTCCTAAATAGCTGACATTGCATCTTCAACACTGTGTGAGTAATCCTGACTTTTTTTTTTTTTTTTTTTTTTCTAAGCTCAGTAAATTAATTACATGCCCTGGGAGGGAGTGATTGTAAGTAGAAAATACTGAACTAGCAGATGATTCGTTTTTAAGGTGCTGTACTATGTGTATCAAGTTCAAGGCGAGGAATCCGAAAGCTTCTAAGACCTGGCAGGCTTATTCCAGCTTTGTGCCATGAATCACAGTCAAGCTGCATTTTGAAGGAGGCTGTTTGATGCGTTTGCTAACTCTGTATTATGGGGTCAGTAAAGTGACAAAGGTCCAACAGAAGCAGGTTGAAGCAGGATGCTGGGATCAAAGCAGTGGCTTAGAGAGCTCTTGAGTCAGGCAAGTTTTAAGGTTTCCCCTCCCCTACTATCTCAGTCCAAAACTGAGAGCGAGCAGCAAATATCATAACAAATGCTTTAGGGACATGGGTACACAGCAGATAGAGCACAGAAAAAAGGAGAAATGTAAAATGATGGCAGCAATACTTTTCTTCACTGTAATCTGAAGCCAGCTGAAGACATACACTATGAATAACTAGAGCATATTTGTATGAACAAAAATGCTCTTCAGTGGTTCTGTTTATGTGGTAGAGGGCTGAATGAAAAACCATGAGCTTGTTTTAAAAAGCCTTATAAAAAGTACATTAAACACATACAGACAGCCAAAACAGAAGAAAGTATGTGGATTGGAATTTGTGATTGGAACAGATCAAATTAAACTAGAGAAGCCGTTGTTAGGTTTGTGTGATTGCTGGGAGTAACTTCTGTTGCTGACAGGTTTAGGATAAAGCTGAAGCAGATTGAAGTGAAAAACTAGAAAACATCAGCATTTCATTACCTTCTATAGCATATGCTGCAGGATAGAATTAACACTGAGTATAGGCTGGCAAATGTGAGCAGTTTACTTTTTCCTTTTAAATCATTATTGATTTCTCCTAGCCTATCGTAAAAAATAATAGGACTTCTGCCTATGAAATTAGTGCTTAGAAATGTTTTTCTTCCTCCCAAATAACTTTTACAGTTTTTCTCAATACAGCACAAAGCTAGGTCATTAAAAAAAAAATTTTGGGCTGTTTTTCAAGTTGCTTTTTGTCTAATTTTTCCTCTTTACACATATAGATACAAGTGTATATATGTTTGTGCTATGAATAACTCTCAAACATAAATCATTACAACAGTTTTAAAAATCACAGATTCCTGTGGCAAATATAAACTTCTAATGGCTACAGTTGGTAATTACTTGCCAATTCCTATAAAAATAACATTAGTTTATTTTTGGTTGCACCCATTTAAACAACTGGCATGATTTAGCCAGTAGGAGAAAAATATTAGTTGTGGCTTGCATAATTTTGTGTTAAGATCACACTGGAAATGCAAAGTTTTGTTGTTAAAAATGTTTTTGCTGGCTGGGCACGGTGGCTCATGCCTGTAATCCCAGGACTTTAGGAAGTTGAGGCAGGTGGATCACCTGAGGTCAGGAGCTTAAGACCAGCCTGACCAACCTGGAGAAAGCCCGTCTCTACTAAAAATACAAAATTAGCCAGGCGTGGTGGCGCATGCCTGTAATCCTGGCTACTTGGGAGGCTGAGGCAGGACAATTGGCTTGAACCTGGCAGGCGGAGGTTGCGGTGAGCTGAGATCACGCCATCACACTCCAGCCTGGGCAACAAAAATGAAACTTGGTCTAAAAATTTTTTTTTTTTTTTGCTTTTTGAAATATTACTCCCTTTTAGATCATACTAATGAATGAAGTTTATAAAAAGAAAGAAAAGTAGCCAACATAGACTCCTTTCTGTATCAACCGATTATATGTAAAATAGATTTTTAAAAATGTAATTTCAATACATTCCTTTAGAAACACATTTACTTTAATGAAGAAACGGTATAATAAGTTCATTTACTGACGCAAAATAGCAAGTTGATTTATTGAGTTTTTGTAGCCATAGGCACAAATAGTACTCTTGGCTCATTCTTAGCTATACATTCCTAACTGATGTATTAGTGGAAGAAAGGAGTTCATCTATAAAAGAAATGTAATCCCATCCCTCAAGATGGTTTGGAACCCATCTAGGAGTAGTAAGTGGTGGAGTGGAAGCTTTATCTGAATTAGCTCCTGACTTCAGCTCAGCTCCTCTTTTTTCTTGGGTCCATGTGGCTCGCTTGGTGTGGTATTCACATCTTCCCCCACCTTTTCTGGCCTTCCTTATTTGAATTACTTTGCTTGGGCCCTTAGTGACACGAATCACATAAAAATGCTTAATTATCAAACATTAATCAGCTGCCTATAGAATTCAGAGGGTGTTTAAAAACAAGGCTCAGGGAAATGCTGGTGGGTATATACTAGGAGTGTTTATGTCTTGCATCAGTACTTTCCTCTGGGACCTCCATCTCTTCAGTTCTCCCTGAGATGCCAGAGTCACATCTCTTACTTGTGAAAGAACACAGCTTTAAGAAAAGGAGTCAAGAGGCACCACGTGCCCAGTGGACAGTGGACTGGGGGCAAGGCATGGTGAAGAAAGCAAAAAAAATCTCCCAAACAGCAATAGTTGATCTTTCTTCTATCCACTCCTCTCAATTTTCTAAAGCCATTTTTGTCTAACTGTGGAAGTTCTTTTGCAGATAAGATTCTGTAAAACTATGCATATCTGCCATAGACAGATGGATTTGACAAAAGATGTATCCAAAAAGGAATGTATCACATCATGAACTTGCTAAGTGTTCATGAATACACACTGGCATTTGGAGACTATTAACACTACCTACTGAAGTAATGACATAAATCCAAACTGAAAAAAATATTATTTCTTGATTGAATTACGTTTTCCAATGGGGTTTTTTTTTTTTGGCGAATTTTGTTTTTGGAAAACTTGCTCTTCCTTCCAACGTTTTTCCTGTGTTATATATAGGACTGATTTGATTGCTTCATCTTGCCCAAGAATTTAATTATTCTTACTTGGTGTTTTCAAAAGAATTACTGTCTACCTTGAGCATGTTTTTAAAAAAGCAGGAAAAAGCAAAACAAATGAAACAAATGTTCCCCTTCCCAAAGGAAAAGCTCACCACCAAGGAGTTAAACGCCTTAGGTTTGTTTAAGTCCCTCCTTTTGTGGAGCTAGACACTGGTGGAGGAGGAGCTTTCATTTAATTTCAAGACAATCAATGATTCCAACTTAATTATAACTGTGTTCTTCTAATTTCTGATTTAAAGAAGCAGAATATTTTGGTGAATTAATCATGAAGTCAGTGGGACCATGCTCAGGCTATGAAACATTTTCTAAGCCTCAGTATCCAGGTCTGTAAAATGAAAATAATGATATATGTTCCGGTATTTTACTGGATTGGTGAATATCCACATCACAACGAGAAAGTGTTTGTCAAAAGAACATTGTCATATGTAATTTGTAATGTGGTGTATAACTACACTCTTATTATGACTGTAGCTCATTATATTTCCAGTAATGGACAAAACTTTTGAATCAATGAAAATCTTCAGTGTTTGATCTTAATGTTATGAAGGCTTTTGGAGCTTTAGTGCTGATCCATTTATTACTTGAGTATTAAAAAACCATTAGGTTCACTGTGATAAATGAATGTGGCATTGTATGTGAGAACATATTTCAAAAACCTCCACGTGCCATATAAATGTTACATATTGCAACAATTATCAGCATATTAATAAAAATTGTTTGCAAATTTTCAATTTTTAAAATGGAAAATGTCAGATATATTATTGATTAGATTGACTAACTTTCCAAGCTATGTCTGCTTCTCTCAAACAGGATGAATGTTCTTGTTGGTTTAGCTTGTGCCGTAATTTTCTTTCCACTTAGATAGAGCACTAAGCCAATAGTTAGATAAGCATTCCTTCACAGCCTACATTTAGAACTGCCAATGACGAAGTTTTGGAGGACATATTTTCCTCACAGGAAAAAGTGCGTTAGGAAATTTAGACTGACAGATGTTCTTGCTTTTTTTTTTTTTAATTCCTGTCTTGACTCTCATTATTAAATTTTGCTAAGGAAATAATCATCTAGGTTTTAAGGTGATGCTTACTCCTAGTAGGTCTTTTCATTTCTGGGATAAAATGGTCAAAATGACTTTCTGAATGATTTGAAAGATCAATTAGCTGTTTTGAATTCCAAATTTTTAGGTGGTTCTGCTTTAGAAAATTATTATCCTTTCTGGAATTAATGTCCATAGCTGCATCCTGTATTTCAGTGGTTTGAGCTCACTGCTGTTATACGTTTGATGATTTCCTAATAGCAATATAGGTTAGGCTAAAGCAGCTACCCATTTCACCTGTTGAACCCTTCTTTAAAAAATAGATGAAATTATAGACAAATCATGATAAGTAAAACATATTAAAATGGGATGGATTCTTTCCTACTTTTATCTCACACAGCTCACCCAGAAATTCATGAGGGAACTTCTAGGAGTGAAACAATTTCATTTGTAGTACTATTTGAAAACTGGTTCTAGGACCATTGACTTGACTTTTTTGTGTCTTTGGTCATGGATAGGCACACTTCTTCAGTAATTTAAAACTATAGTGAAATAATGTGTGTGTGTTTTTAACTTCTCAATAAGATTTTATTTATTTAGCAAAAATCAGGAGTTAGGTGCTAGAAACACAAAGATGAACAAGTCGTGGTTTCCTCAAGGAGCTTATAACCTAGTAGACATTTATTTTGTGTTTGCAGAACTTTTAGGATAATTCTCAAAGAAGAAGGGTTATTTATGAGGTTGCTACTCTTCTCCTCAAAATACTTAACTATGTTAATAATGGAGTGACCAATCTCTAGTATATACAAAAAGTACTAGATAGAAATTATTAATTTTCCTAACTGGGTATGGTGGCTCACGTCTGTGGTCCCAGCTATTTGGGACGCTGAGGTGGGAGGATCACTTAAGCCTGGCAGGTCCAGGCTGCAGTGAGCCATGATTGCAGCACAGCATTCCAGGCTGGGTGGGCAACAGAGTGAGGCCCTATCTTCCACCCACCCCCAAAAAAGAAATATACAAATTTTCTCATAAAATTTTACTTTATAGAGTCTCCAACCTTATTTAGTTCAGTCACCATATTTTACAAAGAAATGGTGGAACCAAGATGTTATCAGGTTTAAGTTTCATATAGAGTAGGTCTGAGACACGAACCTTGAGTACCTAGAGTTAGAATCCAGATCTCTGCCCTTTCAGTTCAGGATGTACTGACAATATATAT